TACTAATAGAATGAAGCATATGAGTGACAAACATAGAACAGATAGGGAGTTTTAAATTGGTGATGAAGTTTACCTGAAACTCCAGCCATACAGACAAACATCATTGGCCCTCAGAAGAAATTTGAAGCTTGCTGCCCGTTATTTTGGACCCTACAAAATTCAAAGTAGAATTGGTCAGGTTGCTTACAAATTAGAACTGCCTGTAAATTCGAAGATACATCCAGTCTTTCACGTAAGTTTACTTAAGAAGAAAGTAGGGAGAAAAGGACTTATCTCGATCGATCCTCTTGAGGTAGCGTCGAATGGATAACTGAAGATTTATCCAGCCCTTGTTTTGGATCAACGAGTGATTACAAGGCAGAATAGAGCAGTCATTCAATTGCTCATTCAATGGACGAATATGGAACAAACAGAAGCAACCTGGGAAGACTACACGGTTTTGCGACAACAATTTCCTCAATTCGATCCTTGGGGACAAGAATCTTCTGAAGGAGGGGGTATTGTTATGATGGCAGGGAAATTAGGGTTTGATCGTGGTGATTTGGGAGAGATTTCGAAGAAAGGATTAGGAGACAGCAGTAGTAATTGGGAGAAGAATCGAAGGACATTAGGGATTGGAAAAGGGGCTAGGGATTGATGTTATAATTGAGATTGGGAATCGAGGGAAAATTAGGGAAACGGCTGAGATATATGGGGAGGTTAGTGGGTATATTTTGATATCCAATATTATTTAATTTTGGGCTTCTAAATGGGCTTGAGTCTGTTAGAAGAATATTAGGAGAGATATGAATATGGTGAGTCAGTAGAGTTGGTTATTTTGTTAGAGATGCTGTTTTGACAGCTTGCATTGTATATACATAATGTGTACCGACCCTTTAAGGAATTATCTTATGAATGAAGAACTTTTTCCTGTACCTAAATCTCTCTATTTTCTGAAATCCCTAAAATTCTTCTATTTCTTATCCTAAATCATAACACAATGACATCGTGTAGTTTAAACACTGGCATTTTCTTTTTAAATTTAATGTAGAGAAAAGCTAAGGCATGCCCAGGTATAATTTACTATATCTTTAATGTCTTTGATTTGCCCTAATAATGTCCTTGTTCTGTAATTTCTCCTCAACTTTTGCACCCTTTCAGGTTTTCATCTTCCTTTTGGCCTTTTAGAACACCACTCAGTTAAAATTTATGCAAGGGGGAAAGTTAGTGCTTACTCATGCCACTGTGCTTATCCCCTTATGAAATAATGGATATTCTTTGAAGTAGTTTTGGGTTCTTTATCCTTCTCAACCCTCTTCCCACCTCCTTTAATTTCATTAAGTTCCTTCTACTGTAATAACGTCTATCTGCTAATGCAATCCCCTTCTTTAGATATATTCAATATAAATTCATGTCAGTAACCAAGTTGTGCATCTTCATGTTGCATCCATTCTATTGTTCAAAATATAAATATACTGGTTGATTTATGACTTTATGTTGTTCAAGTAATTCTGACAAAAGGACCATATCAGAACCATCATAAATTTTCTCCAAATTCACATTTATTTGCTATCCGATTCAAACAGAGATGGATATGAATCTGCATATAATGTAATGTGGAAATCAATGTGGTGGTGAAAACATAACACGCATTATTCTTAGAGATAGAAAGAGATATGCATTTATGAGACATAGCTGCCATGCCATTCTGCTATTAAGTTTTGCAGCCTATTCAGGCAGTTACTTCCTTTATCCATTGCTTGTGAAACTAAGTTTTGGTCATTTACTTCTTCATCTACTAGAGAATCCAATAACTGGGTTAGCTGTTCATACAGGGCTTTCGCTGTTATTTTGAAAAAACAAGATGCTTAAGAAACTTGCTTGTTCCTTAAGCTTCGAGTTCTAGGACTCTGATTATATCTGTTCTACTATTCTTAAATTTCATATTGAAAAATCATCGCTTCAACAGTCATCATTTGGACAATGCATCTCTAATGTATAGTTTTTATGATTGAAAAATGAGAACAATAGTGTAAATATCTGTATTTTACCCTGTAGAAGCTGCTCAACTGGTAGATTGAAGTTGTAGTGATGGAAGAGACGGGCACTCTTCTACTGTTTAGTTTGCCATGGCATTGGCTGCTGTGCTATAAATAGTATATATTGTTAAATAAACTAGTCAGCCAAGCTACTGTTGGACCAAGCTGGTAGGCACGATTAGGGATGTACAAATTCGCATTTAAATCCGATCCGGTTTTTTCACATAGCCAAAAATCCGGTTCGGATCTTAACCGGTTTAGAGGGCCGGATGGTGTAACCGGTTTCGGTTTGAAAAAAAACGGTTTTTAATTCGGTAAAAAAATCGATCGTCCAATTTTTTCCCAAACCGGTTATAGTAACAGCTAGTTTTTAAATCCCAAACCGGATTTTTTTCGGATAAAAAACCGGTCATCTAATTTTTTCCCAAACCGGTTATACTATCCGGTTTTAAAATATCCGATCCAGTTTAAAAAAACCGATTTTTCCCAAATCTGATTTGGGATATTTTTTGCGCAAAATCGGATATTCGAATTTTTTTTACACTTCTAGGCACGATCCACTAGGACTAAATTATTTTAAAGGTAAACCAAATCATCGAACTATACAAAATTTAATTGTTGTGACCCAAATATAAAAACTCACAAAATAGCCACTAAATCATTAGATAATGGTGGTATATCACAAGTTTATATGTATTATTTACGCTACAAATAACTCAAAAAATTTCATTGTTGTCACCCACTTATAGAAACTCGCAAAATAGCCACTAAAACATATAATCTACTCTGTACTGCATGTATTATTTACGCTGCAAGATAACTCTGTAGGCAAAACTTTGGATGGCCATGAAACACCATTGGTTAACAATGAGAAAGAATCCAGCTATCAATCAACGTATAAATCACAAATTCAAGAGCACCTAATCGAGAAAATTGGTACCACACAGCTACTCCTTCCTGTAAACGAGTAAACAACAACAGCACCTTCGATGCGATGCTCTCGGATTCTATCACGTGTACTCCTCGAATGCTTTTCTAGTGCTGGTTTTAGATTTCAAGCTTAAATTTATTTGTTTATCAGTTGTGTTGAATTGATGGGATTAATTAATTAGTTAATGTAGTACCGAATCTAATAGAGCTCATGAAAATAGAAATGACAAACATTTGCATTTCTTCAATTAACGCAAAGAGTAGTATGTCTGCGGGAAGTCGGACCAAAGAAGAACAATATTAATCTTATTGAGATTTTATTGTGTCTTATATGTTGAGCTTGCAATCTATTCTTACCACTAAGATTAAGCCACACCACACAAGTTAAAATAGTCAATTGAGTTCAAACTCATTAAATAGCCGATTGCAAAACAAATTAATATACATAAAACAAACAGATATTTAGACCTCACTATGATGCTTTGTCAAAATTCAGAGAAGAAAAGAGGGTTCCTCATGTAGTCATTAGATGTAGCGAAGTTTATTATTTTATTTTATAGTAAAGTTCAGTACCAAAAATGATGACATGAACCTACCTACGTCCCTTTTCCAACGCATATGCTGCAAAAACGTGGTGGCCCCTGATTTAACTCATGATCGTCACCTTCACTCTCTATTCGGATTTATTTAATATTATCACATAGTAACAAATTTATTTGAAGGGTGGGCTTTACTGTTGCAATTATTTGAAGCACTGGTTAACAGGAGTCGAATGAGATCTCCAATGTTTAACGGTCCACCTCAGCTTTTCATAATTAGGGTTAACATTTGTTAACTTCAAATGATTATTTTGTTATAAATAGATAACATTAATGATTAATTTGTAATTTTTAAAAGTTTAATGGAAAAAATGAAAACTTACCCAAAGCTTAGTGTACATTAGTGTAGTTTACCCTTTATTTGATTGAAAACCAGTAATTTAAACTGATCTAAACTAAATTTAAATAAATCAATAATTCGGCATTAACATAAGAATAAGATCAGCTTCGACAAAATATTCGAACCTCCAATATTCTTTTCATAGTAAACCTGAATCATGTTCAGTTGAGAGTTTTAATGATTATGTATTAATTTGTGGGGGTTTTCAATATTTTTTTTTAAATTATGTTCTAAACCGTATTTGGCAAAGGATTGATGTGACATGTAACCAAATCTGGAAATCGTGTCATCTTGCTACAAGAACCTTGTAGCGTTGCAACGGACTAGATGCATTTAACAAAATACAAGCACATGCATGAGGATTGGGATGTGAGTATGGACATTTAATGGGAAAAGAAACATGTGATGGGATTCATCAATGGTGACTAATTAAGGGTTTTATTTATTTATATACATTATACATTGACGATTGCAAGATCCCAGGAAATGCTAATCCTATAGGCTGCAGTGCAAACCAATTGTTTTTCTTTTGTTGAAACAGACCAACAAGTATTCTTGCAATGAGTCAGTTTTTTCTTTTCTTAAAGAAAATTAAGGCATATTTAGTACGTAAAAATTCACATATTGTCTACTAATTATGACATTAAAAGATTCGAATTTGAATTTACAAACTCAAATTCGAATTTCAACTACTTGTGCCACCCACAATTATTCTTGCAATGGGTCAGATGTTAATGCATATGTTTTACCGAAATGTTTATATGTAATTACTTAATTTAGTGTTTGGGTTTGAAATGGTTTTTTGATATTGAAATGATATAGTTTTTAGAATTTCGAAATGAATTGTGGAATGATTTGGATTCAGATCTAGTAATGGAAAGATAATTTGGATGGACTAAATTCATACCCTCAATAATTCGATTAATGGAACCTTGTATTGGAGTGGGATTCATAATTCAGTTCATGGGTCCTTCGAACACAGGTTCAAATTTCTAACCCCGACAAGGGTGAAACAGTCCTTTCGGCTTTTTGCCACTAATTGGCTATTCGCAATTATTGTTTCACGCGTTCCATCAGTATTTAAATTCTCTCCGCCAATTCTAAACTCGAATCCCTCGCTCTCGGTTTCACGCTAATCAATGGCAGAAAAATGGAAAACCACTCTACTCTTTGCCTCTTCCATTTTTCTCCTTCTCCTCTCTCTCTCCGCTGCTGTTTCCGCCCCTTTACAGCTACAAACCCTATTTCCCCGCCCTCTTCCTTCTCCGCCCACATTATCATGGATAGACTCCGAACCCGAATCAGATTCACTAGCCGAAATCGCGGAACTCAGCACTGTTAGTTCCAACACCACACTGGAAATGCACTTAGAATTGCATCACTTAGATGCCTTTTCTTCTGAAGAGACACCGGAGCGGCTTTTCGACCTTCGGCTGCAGCGCGACGCGCTTCGTGCCGAAATGATCTACTCACTCGTTTCGAAGGCGGTTGCGCGTAAACATCCACGCGCGCCTGGTGTTCGTTCTGGGTTCAGTAGTTCTATTATCTCCGGACTTGCTCAGGGTAGTGGAGAGTACTTCACGCGCCTAGGGGTCGGTACTCCTCCGAGGTATCTTTTTATGGTGCTCGATACTGGAAGCGACGTCGTGTGGGTTCAGTGTTCGCCTTGCAAGAATTGCTACTCTCAGACCGACCCGATTTTCGACCCGTCTAAATCACGCTCGTTCTCTGGTATTCCATGTGGATCCCGGCTTTGCCGTAGTTTAGATTCGTCTGGATGTAATAAGCGCCGGATGTGTCTTTACCAAGTATCCTACGGCGACGGTTCGGTTACCTTCGGTGACTTCTCCACTGAAACGCTGACGTTTAGAAGGAACAGAGTTGGACGTGTGGCGCTCGGTTGTGGTCACGACAATGAGGGTTTGTTCGTCGGTGCAGCAGGTTTGTTAGGCCTTGGTCGGGGGAGATTATCATTCCCCACCCAAGCCGGACGCCGCTTCAATCGGAAGTTCTCTTACTGTTTGGTCGACCGGTCCGCTTCCTCTAAACCCTCCTCCATGATTTTTGGTGACGCCGCCATTCCCCGAACCGCGGTGTTCACACCTCTGCTAACAAATCCAAAGCTCGACACGTTCTACTACGTTGAACTGCTTGGGATCAGTGTGGGAGGGGCGCTTGTCCGCCGGGTCACGCCTTCTCTGTTCAAAATGGATCGAGCTGGCAACGGAGGCGTCATCGTCGACTCAGGCACGTCAGTCACCCGCTTGACCCGACCCGCTTACATAGCACTGAGGGATGCTTTCCGTATAGGAGCTTCGAATTTGAAGCGGGCGCCCGATTTCTCATTGTTCGACACATGCTTCGACTTGTCGGGGAAGACTTCCGTGAAGGTACCGACTGTAGTACTGCATTTTAGAGGAGCCGATGTGTCATTGCCGGCAACGAATTATTTGATTCCGGTGAGTAGCAGCGGAACGTTTTGCTTTGCATTCGCGGGTACCATGAGTGGTTTGTCCATAATTGGAAACATACAGCAACAGGGTTTCCGGGTGGCTTTCGACTTAGCGGGTTCCCGGATTGGGTTTGCGCCCCGCGGGTGCGTTTAGACACCACTACGCTTCTTTTATATCTTTCAACAACGGGTAAGGGGTAAACCTTTCCCTGCCTCTATTTTAGTTAAGAACGGAGGCAAAGAAGAAGAAATCTTGCATGGATTTGAATGTAAGACGAGAAGAGAGGTAGATGGTAAAAGGTGGGTAGATTGTTTAGATCAATCAATGTAGTTTTCTCACGTGTTGTCAGCTGTATTTTTCAAGTATGAATCTACTCAAGTTTAATTAATTATAAGTCGAAATTAAGTTCCATTTCCAGAAATTTGGTTCATTTACTCTGCCTGGGATCTCTTTCAGTGAACCGCTAGTAAGCAGTTAGGCGAAGTAGCCCTCTTTCTAGCTTGGGCTATTCATGTTAATTCACAGATGGATGTAAAGATGAGGTGCACAAAAGGGAAACTGGAGTTTGAATTTCTCTATGATTTTTGCACCCTCCACGTTGATGTTTTTCTTTGCCCATAATCCAATAAAGGGACACTTGGGGTGCATGCCGCCTGGGCCAAAATGGCTCTGCAGATTAATAAGTAATCGACAAATTTCACCAAGTTTGCTGGTTTAGCGCATGCCAGCAAATGAACAAAAGTGGGTGCCCCACTCAAGCATGGCGGAGTGGGACATGTAGCAATCATGTATCAACAGAGTAGCGTGCTTTTGGGGTGAAAAGAAAGAGCAATGCAATCATATCCTTTTTTTCACATGGGGTAAAAGAATAAAAAAGTACCCACAGTGGGAACCTTGTGGTATGGAAAGATTATTCCTTTAAAATATTTTTTTGTTTTTATCTGTCTTGAGAAATTGCTTCAATTATTTTTCCCCCTCTGTTCAACAGTTATTGCTCTTCAATTATAAAGCTACCAAGATTTACCGTGGAAACTGCTGCTTCGATGGAATATGGTAATTGCGCATGTTGGGGTTTCTCTTTCTTCTTTTGACAAATAATATCCCAATTAATTATAATAAACTAATTAATTTTTAAATATTAATATTAAAATTAAAATTATTTAACAGATTTTAATTTGTGTATATAATTAACTCGTTCACTGCACTGAAATTGTAAATTAAACACAAATTTATTAACAATTGGGTGTAAGAATGTGAAGTTGGTTATTCTAAAACCCAGCCCATATATTGGTCCAATTCTTAAAGAGAAAATAGCAATTTAGATTCACTTGCATTTCTTATCTGTATTTCATTCTTTTCGTTTTTGCATCAAAGTGAACCCAAAGTTCCTGTCTTTCCAACAAGGAATTACACCCATTGGGAAATAACGGGTCAATTTTGATAATTTTTCCATCTCTTTTTCCATGGAGTTTAATAGCATCGATTGTGTGACATCTTCGGATGTCATCGATGATGATAATGAGATTTATCATCATCTTAATCAGTTGTGCCCTTAGTGAAGGTTCATAGGAACAATGGGAGCAGCAACAGTATTGTGTCATCAGCGGTTCGGTGGAGCAACACCAGTGTCCATGAATTTCTTGAATACCCTGTTTGTACCAATTCTATGTATCCTCCTATTCATCAGGTCAGTACTTAATTCTAAATTTCTTTGATAATTTTCCAATCCTTTGGAGTGCTTGAATGGTTTAAATTTTGTTTCTTTTTTCTTGGTTTTTAAGATTAATTTATTGGCCTTTGAGTGATTGTTCGATTTTTTTAATCTCCTCTGTTAAATCTTTGCTCTTTTAGTGTTAGAATTAGGACTATTGATTCGACAAATTTTATGGGTCGGAAGAGGTATGAGTTTAAATTCGTATCTTTTGGGATTTTTATTTTTGGAAATTCTGTAGGTAGGAGTTATGAACTAGAGTGCTTTGAGAGGTTTTAGACGAGAGAAGAGAAGAGGGACATAAGTTAATAGGGGAAGTACAGGTTTGAGGGTGATAGCATGGTCATGACTTCGACTCGGTGGTAAGCCTTTCGGCTCCTCAAAAACACCTTTGTACTCTTGTAACAGTGGTTGTAAAGGAGTGGGAACCTCTGATGTAGTAACTTCCATGTCTAGCATAAAAATGTGTCCTAAATCTGGATCAACAGCAGTCATTTTGTGTAGTGTGGCTCCAGAAATCTGCTGCAATACGTCAGAATTGCCTTGGCCTTCAATAACAATTTGTTGAGCATTTTTTGTTTCAAAAGTCAATAGTTATACGGCTGAACTCCATTGAAATAAAGCTAAAGAGTTTCATCCAGTCGACCCTAAAACCATATCACTGCCCCCTAGATGTAGGACTCAGAAATCATGTGAAAGAATACCTCTGCATCGATCATGTTACTTGATTGCTCCTTGTTGAGCTGAAAAGTTTCTCACCATTAGCAACAGTAATTGCAAGGGGATAGGTAGTGACTACTTCAACACCGTCAGTAGCCCATCTTGGAGTCAAGAAATTGTGGGTGCTACCAGTATCAATCAGGATACTTAGTGGTTTCCCCTTTATGAAACCTTTGATTCTCAAGATATTGTGGCCAATGCAACCTTTCTAGGCATGAATAGAAATTTTGAGGGTTCCTTTTGAACAACTTGATCCTTAACATTCTCAATCGAAGTATCTGCTGGCACCATGTTATCACCCCTCCTCCATCATGTTCAGCTGCTGGGTTTACATTGATGTCCAAGGGTTAACTTATCCCCGCATTTAAAACAGAGGCTATTCTGTCTCCTGTACTCCATAAGATTTTATGTAGTTTGTGGAATGGGGTTGGTTTTCTGGATGGGTGGGTTCGGGAAAGATCTAGGAAAATCTATTCGGGTTGGGTAGGGAGGGTTTCTAAAGTTTGATCTTAGTCTTTTGGTCTTATATTCCACCAAGAGTTCATATAGCTTAGCCTGTTTAGCAGTTTCAGCCAAGCTTTTAGGTTCTAATGCCATTACCCTGTGTTTCAGTTCATCTTTCAAACCACTAACAAACAGGGACACAAAGAATTCCTCCCCTAAGGTAGGATTTTATAGTAACATATAAGGCTTGTATTCCTCGAATCTGTCCTGATATTCATCCAATGACCCCTTTTGTAACAGTTTACTAAGCTCCTCTATAATATCTGGAAATGACATGTCATTAAAGCGATGACAAAGGTCGGCTTCGAATTCGTGTCAGTGCACCCTATGCTTCTGCATGATGTAACCATCCAAGTTTCTACTCGACCTAGTAAATACATCGCAACTACTTCCACCCTTTGCTCATCAGGAACCCTACAAAGATAAAAATATTTATGGCATTTTTGAATCCATCCCCTCGGATTAATTCCTTCAAACTTTGGTAATTCGATGTTGGGTCTATAAATCATGGATCCTAAATTGTTTGAAGCCATCCCTGTCCTTTTCTTTCATCCACATTACCCCCTAAGTTAGTTTTTATCTCACTGTTTTCACCCATTCGATTCTGGGGACTTGTTTGAAACTCACCCGGTTTAGATTTTAGGACACCAGGTTCATTGGGACTTCTCATTTACCACAATCACTAACAACGGTTTCTTCCCATCAGCTTTAGGAGGGTTGGAAGTGTTTACCTGCTCAGTTCCAGGACTTATTGGTTCCTACTCATCCGTCCTCCCCGTTAAGATCCTTAAAATCTGCTCCACATAGCCTTGATTCGTCGCCATCCTTGTCTCCAGGCTACTGATGCGACTATCCTGTGTCTCCTACCATTTAGGAGGGTTAGCTTCATCCTTTGCTTGCTTCTCCAAATTTGATAAATCTTTAATCTGCTTTTGGATTGGAGAAAGGTTAGTGGAATCTGCCATGCTTTGGTTCTTTTTCGGCATAACAGACTGCAATTTGGTGGGACTTTTAAGCTCTGATTACCAATTTGTTATGAAGTAGAGTGATTTGAGAGGTTTTAGACGAGAGAAAAGAGAGAAAGGGAGGTTAGAGAAAAAGGAATTCTCATTCAACAAAATCATAAAATTCTCCTAGCAGTACAGTGTTTTATTTAGTTACAAGGTACTGATTTTAGTAGCTATGCCAGTTGGTTGTCCTTGCCATAACAGCTTTATCAGTTTTGTGCAGGTGTCCTCTCTTTCCATTGGGTTGCTTGCTTCAGGCCTGCTCCTCTTCTCCCAAACAGGTATCGGGCTTCTCTTTTACTTCTATCATTTTAATTATCACCTGTTTCTCACTTGCTGTCCCTTTTGTCATCCTTTTCCCCGATTTCTCATTCGAAATCCCTATCCCTTCCTTAGAAATCCCCAATTTCATATCTTTGTTTCGCACTTCTTCTTCTCCAACTATGACAGTAGGTTTTTCTGGTTTTAATGTAGAATTACAGTGCAAGAATCCTTTCATATAATGATGAAATTTATAATCGCATCTCCCTGAGTAGGGTAGGAAAGGAGCAAATAGGAGTAGTCATGCTGTAAAAATTGGAAAAAAACAATGCATTTACTTTTTTCCATGACAGTTTACTAGGATATCTTGGACAATAAAATCAGGTCTTCAATTTGCATAATTTCACAGAAAAAGCTTTTGAATATTTGGCATAATCTACAAAAATAAGAAATTTCAGTAAGATTGTGTTTATAACAGAAGTAATTGAAGATTGTCTTGTGGTATATTGTTTGTGTTCATCCTTCTTAGAATGTTGGTACAACTAGACTGGATTTCTCTTTCTCTTATAATGAATTCTCAGCTTACTACTGGTGATTTAACGATTTGTTGTTCCACAGTGCCACAATGGACATACTCTCTGTTCAACCTGTAAAACAAGGGCACACAGTCGGTGCACCAATTGTAGACAGGAGCTTGATGATATTAGGTGTCTAGCACTAGAGAAAGTAGCTGAATTGCTCGAACTTCCTTGTAAATACACATAGCTTGGATGCCCGGAGATCTCCCCTTACTATGGTAAACTCGAACATGAGGCCTTATGTAACTTCAGACCACACAATTGCCTATATACTGGATCAGAATGTGCCGTTTTTGGTGATATTTCATTCCTTGTTCCTCATCTAAAGGATGACCACAAGGTGGACATGCATTCTGGATGCACGTTTAACCATCATTATGTGAAGTCTAATACTTGGGAAGTAGAAAATGCCTCACGGATGTTAACGGTAAGAGCACTCTTCTTAACCACCTTCGTCCTGAATCCTGATTATGAACTGAGCCATAATTAATTGTCATCTATGTTAGGTATTCCACTGTTATGGTCAGCACTTCTGCCTCCATTTTGGAGCCTTCCAGCTCGGGATGGCCCCGGTTTATATGGTGTTCCTTCATTTCATGGGCGACAAGGTTGAAGCCCGAAATTACAGTTACAACATAGAAGTTGGGGGCAATGGCAGGAAACTCATTTGGGAAGGCACTGCAAGAAGCATAAGAGATGAGCACCGAAAGGATAGGAATAGCTATGACGACCTTATTATACAGCGTAACATGGCTTTTTCATATCTGCAGGAGATAGAAAAGAGTTGAAGCTGCGAGTAGCCTGACGGGTATGGAATGAACAAGAGAACCCTGAAGGCGGTGCTTGCATACCCAACCTCTGCAGTTAAAAAAAAGAGAGGCTCAGTTGGATCATTGATGCATACCCCATGATACCATTTGATGCATGTTGCTGTAATATTCACATTAGCTGTGCTGTGAATGTTAATGATTCTTGAATTCTGTATGAATATGCTTGAGCCTTTTCTCAATGGTAAAGGAAAAACAGTTCACTACGCTGTAAAATATTGAAAAATGCAATCTAAACGAGTTTCACTATCGATTCCTTCCCACATGAATGAATACGTCGATTTCTTTATCTTGTTATTAACACGGCATCGTTTATAGCTCTCGAGGGATTTTAGCATCTTCGAGAGCACGGTTCCCACCTTCATAGCAAAAGTAGTGCTCTTCAAGGCTTCTTAACAAACACCCACTCCCAAAAAAAAGGGATAAACTACAAATTTAATACCTAAACTATCAATTTTAGTATGTTTTAATATCTAAACTTAAAAAAATCAAAGTCATACATAATAATTAATTTTTGTTTCATTTTAGTATCCCACTGTTAAAAACTTAACATGTTTAATACCTAACTATTAATTTTGATCTGTTATAGTATCTAAACTTTCAAATTTTTTTCAAAACATAACATTAAAGTTTAAATAGAAGTATACTAAAATGAAACAAAAAATAAACTTTAGTTATGATTTTGAAAAAATTGAAAGTTTATGTACTAAAACGAGCCAAAACTAATAGTTTAGATCTTAAACGCGTAATTTACCCAAAAAAAATTAAAAATTATATACAATTTTAACAAACAAATTATTTATCAAAATAATAATTTTTTATTGATTGATTGTATTACGAAAAGGCACGTGATCAACAACACAATTATTTTTTTATCGACACCTTAAAAAAACTATCCATATAGTGCACTAACGACTGCAACAAGATGATTTAGTGTTCATTGTCAAATGATTAAGAGCATATTTAGAACAAATACTACTTGTAATCATCTTAACTTAATGAAGAAAAAAAAGATATACATATAGTGCAAATCTAGTGGACAATAATTGATTCTTAAATTCTATACGAAATTATTTACCCAAAAAAAACCTTAAAATCATATACAAGTGGTTCAAATTACAAATCGAATGGACAATGATTATTCAAGCATTCTTATAAAATCTAATCCTACCTATATAGTATCGAAACCTCAAGCAATCTTTCTAATTTTTTTGTATAATTGATCATGTGAAAATACTAACTAAACATAAAATTCATACCAAATATGCAACTTGACATCTAAGACAAGTTTCTGACATCTTTTTACAATCAAACACGAGCATTTCCATGTCATCACAATTTACACAACAAGAACCAAGTCTCTCATTATATAATTATGGCATGCTTACAACTTTAAACATACCAAACATTCTCAAAGTCATGAATTTAGCATCACATATATCAAGTGCATAAGCATTTTCAACCTTCACAACATAACATGTTGTAAACTTGTCATGTTTTCCTATACTCATATCACATTAACAAGACCAACAATATTTTCATATCAATTAACATTCCAGGGTATGGCATGCTAACTATTGGAACAATAGCACATGTCATAATCTCATGAATCATTCTAAATTTCATAGGTATCACAAGCACACATACATATATAAGCATGCCAGAGGTTCATCACTTAATTAAACAAACTATATGTACATTTCACTAGATAAAGTACTATCAAAAGAAGCTCATTTTCTGTTCTTTTTATATTAAAATTTTCACATCAATTAACATTCTAGGGTATGGCATGATAACTACAAGGACAACAGCACACATCATAATCTCATGAAACATTCTAAATTCCGTAGGCATCACAACTTAAGTTATCACAAGCACACATACATATATATACAAGCCAGAGGTTCATCACTTAATTAAACATACTATATGTATATTTCACTAGACAAAGTACTTTCAAAAGAAGCTCATTATTTTGGTTTAAACAATTCACTTTTAAAATAAAGTGATTGATGTTGATTTGATGTAAACATTTCAAATTTAAGTTTTTCTTACTCTAAAGTGAAGTTGATTGATGCTATTTGATGTAGATTTATAAATAACATTTTGAGAGGTTTAGAATTATTATTATCCGAGTCCAAATATTATCATCCAAGAAACAACTTAAAACCAACTAAAATGCATCTTCATGTCTAATGGTCAATCTAAATTTGTAAACAATAGGTAAATGGAATGATTATGAGTTAACCCAATTTGACTAATGTAATGTAATTTGAGACATTTGCCACCTACCATCATCAATAAAAAGATAATATTAGGTGAGAGGTTCAAATTTTAGCACCTACCATCCCTTTCGTTATCATTGCAAGATAACCAACATTGCCAGCATAATAAACAAATTGAATGCAACTAAGAAACTGAAATAATTAGGGAAAGGAATGAGTCAATGACAGCATTTCTAAAAATGAGAGACTAGAAGAGCACACACATCATTCCAAACATCAAATGCAAACAATGTTGAATTGGATTTGACAGATGAGCAACCAGATTCATGTTGATCTATAACATAGTAGGGATATCAACTAATATTTAAAGTTGAATTTTATTTCATACTAATGCTCAATCAAACAAACTTACTGAGATAAACTGTTCTACACACCACAGAGAAAACACAATCAATATCGCAGAGAAGGCTTCGAAATTGCTTCTCAACTTTTATGCAGAGGCACACAACTTGTGTTTCTAAAATTATTCCTTCATCCTCATTGACACAGCACGTGAATGAGGAGTTTAAAGCGGCAGTGTTCGCTAGAGAAACATGGGAAGAAATTATGAAAAGGTTTGTGCAAGCTTCTAAACTTGTTTGCAAGACAAAAAGGTTAAGAAGATCACCCCCTACTTTACCTCTCTCTATCCCCTTGGCCTACAAAATACCACACCTCATAAATATTAAGTTGAATCGGCTCTGTTTCAGTCTGATATTCTAATCTCGACCCCTAAAATGTCCTTCACCATCTCGTATGTCACAAATGCAATAGCTATTGAAGGTACAACCTGTAAAAAGAATAAAAATATTAGAAAATGACCATTTTAAGATGATATATTTGTATACTCAATTCCACTAAAGAAAAAAATAGCAAGTAATCAAGTAGGTCCATTTTAATACTATATAACTACTTGTAGTAAAGTAGTGCTGGAGTACAGAGAAAGATAGAGATGTAATTGGATTATAAGATTTAAAAGCCATTAGGGGAAGAAAGAAGTTGTTCACATCTTGGTTTTAAAAAGCGTAAAGCGCCCTAAAGCGCCTAGGGTCCTAGACGCCGAAGCGCTAAGCGAAAGCGCTCGCTTTATGCACAAGAAGCGCCAGAAAGGCCGAAATTCACAAAAAAATACAAAATATTTATAAATTATCTTATAAATACTTAAATATCAAAGTGTCAATACATATATTCAAAACTTATAAGTACTTAAACACCAAAATATAATTCTCAATTTACTTATAACTTACAAGTTATAAACACTTAAATACTTATATACGATTAACCATACGACTATACGAGCATACTAATCTCAAAAGATGGTCTACACTAAAAGTAGTCTAAAGTGAGATGAACAAAAGTATTTTTCTAAACCCTCAATTCCTTATAACTAAAAATCCTCTAAATTGTCATCGTCATCAACTCGGACAACATCATCTCCTTCATCACTAGACACTCCAATATCTTCTTCCATCTCATCTTCATCAACTAAGCATCTACGAGATGGTCTACTAGAGATAGGATTATGAGAAGAAGATTTTCCTTTATCATTTCTCGATGGTCCGGCTCCATCATTCACTACTTTTGATGCTCTAGTTAGATAACTAGGCTCATATGCACCGGAAGCGTTAGCAACATCACTCTATGTCAAATCCTCACCAACAAACACCGCCTCATCATCATCTTCATCTTCTTCCATTCTTCCCATCAACCACTCATTGCTCTCATCAATATCTTGCAAAAGAATGGGATCGGTCTCCTTACTTTTAGCTCGGCGCTCCAAGGCATGATTGAATTTCACAAACACCATGTCATTCAATCTAGATTGTGCCAATCTATTTCGTTTCTTAGTGTGAAGCTACAAGAAAAAAAAACCAAAACTGATAATTTAATAGCCCGCTAAACCCTAAATAAGCCCAAAAACCGTATCTGCTAAAGCCCAGAATCGTATCTTCTAAACTCGAGATTAAGCGCCGATTAGCGCTTTGCTAAAAGCACTGCAAAAGCGCCGATTACTACCGCTTAATGAATTCGTAGTGCTTTTGCTATGCTGAAGCGCCAGGGGCCTCGCTCGCGTCGCTTAGCGCTTTAATCGCGCTTAAGCGGCGCTTTTTTAAACTAAGGTTCACATTGGTTACACAAAAAGCTTAATGGGGCAAACTTTTGTGGGAATACGCTACTTTTAACTAGATGTCAGTCTAGCCCATATCAATGCAACCCATCAAGATCAAAAGTAAAATAATATGCAGAAGTCTATAAGCTCTTAAATTTGATTTATGACTGACAATGCGAAATAGGAGATCATTATTTTTCTGAAAGAATCAGAAAAACAAAAGATCAAGGATGAAATACTTCTCCATGCAACCGCTTTTTAAACCCATCTCCTTAGCAAAAGTTTAAACTAGAGTTTCTTTCAGAGAACCAACCAAATGGGAAAAGTGGTTTCTGCATGTATCAATACTTGAAATAAATGAATTGAAAGATACAAACCTTCACAGAATTAGGCACCAGACCCTTGTACAATGCTCCAAAGCCTTCATGCCTAACAGTTTTCCTGAAAGCATCAATCATGCCAGTATATTCAAGAGTGGCCCTGTTCCTCCCATCACCAGTGACAACTGAGGCCGCATCTTTCCATCCTACCATTTGCATTCTTCTGCGAATCACATCCAGAGGATAAGCAACAGTTTGGCCTACAGTTCCAGCAGCAGCCCCACAAGCAAGCCTGGTTGTCACACTCAACTCAGAGTCATTGACTAACCCAAGTGGTCTGCTTTTGATTAACCAATCTTTTAGAGATTCATACACAGCAAAGTTGAGGCCCACATATGGAATCTGCAAATATAAAATGAGTTCAAATCAACATACAAAAAATAAAGCATTCTCTTTGCCGGGGGTATTATGAAGGGAGATAAGCTTTTTTCTAATGGAAGTGGATCTCATAATTATGTGATCCTAGAAAGAAATCGCCTCTCCCCATGTCTCTCTTCTAAGCCATTATCTTTGGCCAAGAGGCATGCATTCATTACATCCACAGTATTCAAAACTATTTGACGATGAAACACCAAATAGATGAACTAAATCACTCACAACTCCAATGACAGAAGGGAGCCAACCCTTGTACAATGCTCGTGGGCCTTCTTCCCGCAACACAGTGGACAGAGCATGGAACATCCCTCTATACTGATAAGGCGAGCTTTCTGTCTGCGATATACACAACTAGATGATTAAATGTGCAGCCAACCAACAACAAATAATTTGATACATCAAAGAAAGAATATGTTGCTGTTCAAAAAGAAATCAATACTCTGTAAAGAATTAAGTAGAATTCAAAATGTTTGGCCACTTTATATTTCACTAAAAAGTGTAAAACATCATGCATCTGTGAAACAAATGATATTTTAGAGACAATACCTGTACAGTGAGCCTGCCCCGTACCATGTCCATAGGATAAGTTGCAGACATAGCAATTATTCCAGCACATGCTCCAGCTCCAAGGCGTAAAAGAGGAGTGAGTTGAGCATCCTCTGCAAAATTAATTACAGTAACAGAAAAGCATTATATGAGCTTCCAAGATATTAAGTGCATCTTAACATAAATATCATGATATGCATTATAACATCCTTGTAGAGCCAGAGCATTCCCATGAATGCAGACATCAACCAAATGAGCCGAAAACATAACTGAGTTCTATGTGTATCATATAAAGAAAACATGATATGACTATTAGGCGGCAAATAGATTATGACAACATTGACCATACCATTGCCAGTTTGCTGTTGATACATATATAGGATTCCCCTGTCACAAACAATAACAAAGAACAATCAGACAGCAAGGGAAATAGAAACTTTTCCTTCAAAACTTGAACAAGCGTGATAGGAGCAGAGCAAAGAAAAGAGAACTTTGCACTCTCAAGGAACTATAATGTTGATGTATTCCAATTGCATAACCAAAGACAATGATACAGTATTATTAGATATGCTTTTTGTCCAAATTCACTAATACACCGATCATCCATATTGCGGGGGAAAAAGTAAAGTTTAGATTTAAAAACAATAAACAATATCAGTAAAATAAATTGCTTGAACAGTGTTCAGAGATCCTACTTTGAAGCTTGCTCGTAGCTGAAAAACTTGACAGCCGAGTTTGGAACAATGCGTGCACAATTAGTACCGTTGCCTTTGAATAATCCGCGTAAACCTTCTGTTCCCCAAATGTACTTCAAGCCTTGAATTGTACCATTGTATTTTATACTATGTGGATTTTGAACCTGCATTCAAAAAAAGAAGGAGAAAAAGCTAATTAAGAAAATAAAAAAAATTTAATTTCATTGATCTAAATAAAATGAAAAAGAACCTAAAACGAAACGAACCTGAAGTAAGATTTTTAAACGTTCCAAAGGAGCAACAGCAGTTCGTGACCTGCATGTAAAAAGACAAATTAAACAAAAGATCCAGTTTCGTTTTCCTTCGAAAGTTGAAAAAAATAGTGCTGTCGGAGACATTTTCAGTCTACACAAACAAACATTCCATAGAGTGAAAGAGATAGAGAGAGCTCACACTCCACCGGCTACGCCGCCAGCAACGAGAGACTTGCAGATGCTAAGTATAGCATAGCTAGGGGCCTTAACACCCTCTCTCGCGAGCTTCGCTTCCTCCGCCAGATTCACGATCGTCGACACCGCCGTTTCGCTAGTCTTCACGTCCTCCGAAGCCATCAAAAACCAAAAACGTCCCTACGAAGTCTATGGGAATATAGATTATCCGGCGATCAATAGGATCAGACCTCCGAAGCAATTCACAGAGAAACGAAGCTCCGCATTCCTCTCTCGCCCTTGCTCTTTAGTTCTTGTGTGGTTGTGACGGCTGGATGAAGTGAGACCTCAAATTCAACTATTTGAGAGCGTGAGGGACGTTGCATAACAGCGCGTGTGTTTGGTAAAGTTTACTGTGGAAGGTCTAAGGTATACGGTGTGTCACGTTGGGGGCATCTATTCCAGCAAGATTAAAGGCCTAATCAATGTTATTCCCGGAATTAATTAAAATTCAAGCTCAATCACTCTTTGGTTGTGGTAATTTGGGAAATAGATCATTATTTTATACATTAAAATAATCAACTTTTTTTCCATATAATTTATAAATTATTTACGCTTTAAATTCTTAATGTGGAAAATATTGTGTGCAACAATATATTAGGTAAAATACATCATTGATCACCTTATTAGTATCTCTTTTCTATTTCGTCTATCATATTATTTTTTCTGCATAAATGATCATTAATATTACGTTTTTTACTTTAATTACCTATCGTTAAATATTTAATGGATAAGACGATGTAATCTAATATGATAATAAATTTAGTCTCTAAAACGTATACATTCTCTCAATTTCATCCTAATTTGAAACAACTCATCAAACTTTGAGTCAAAACACAAAATCTTCATCCTTTCTTCTTTCATTCTCATTATTCTTATTTTTTTTCTCTCTTTTTGTTCTCACTTCTCAGTTTTCATTCCATTAACATAGAATTTACTAGGTATTTCAATTATAGATGCAAATCTTCTTCTTCTTCTTTTTATAATGGTGGCAGAAAAAAGTTGATAGTGGTAGGTGTTGGGGGGTCAATAAAGGAACTTGATGGGTGTGGGATGTCAGCAAGGGGGTTGATGGGGTTAAGAAAAATGAACTCATATTTTTAGAATTGGTTTATGTTGATCAGAGCATTCTCTTCAAGATCCGAATGGTTGAAGGTTTTGATGAAGTGGGTAGAAGACCATAACTTGGAATCGATCAAAAGACTAATTTTGAGATGAGAACAATTTGAAATGTTCAAAGTTATTTTTGTAGCTTCAATGGTCATTTCGAAAAAATATAGTCTGGTAGACTAAGGGAAGGCTAAGTTGAGGTTGCTGGTAAATTTTAGGGTTAAACAGTAGATAACATTACTTTAGATATAATATTAATTTAACCCTTGATTGTTAGATAAAATTTTAATTTAATCTCTAAATTAGATCACATTTCCTCGTTTTTGGCCGTCACTCATTGTCATTTCAGGTCAGTTTCAACCACCATCTGTTGTCTTCGACGGTCGTTGTGGAATTTCTAATTCACTTATAAAATTTAACCTCTTTTACTAATGTGCATCTTCATTAAATTAACAACATTTAATGTTCCATGATTGAAACATTATAAATCAATGACTAAAAGTGAATATTTATGAAACAAAACTAATGTTCTTATAAATTCTTATATCGATACATATACCAATTTATAAGAATCAGTCATTGATTTAAATGGTTTAAATTATAATTCCATATAAATTTTAAGCGTTAAAAATTAATATTCTAGATGTATCGATATGAGATATTACTTTTTTAAAATCAATGATTAAAAGTAAATATTTATGAAACAAAAGTGATCATTTCACTGATTGACCCATTTTTTGTAATGTGGACTGCGTTTGCCAGAAACGGAAACCTAGATGATTCATTTGACGGCGTTGCTCAGTTGCCACGTCATGATTGGGACCCTATCTGAAAATATTAAATGGATTAAATTGCAAGTTTCTTTTATCATGTTGCCGATATTTTTTTGATAAATAATAAGAAGAAAATATATAAATATTATTCATGAAGCAAGAAATTATGATCAGATTATATATAAATTAAAAACGTGTAATAAAACATTATATTTTTGGTAAGGTAATAAGATTTTAAGAAAGACATCTATTTTAAAATGAAATTGTTAAATATGATAAGTTTAACATGTATCCCGTCTCTCATATCGACACATCTATGAATAAGCCTAATTCTTATAAATTCACAAATGTCCTTCACAATGCAATCAATGTCTGATGAATCCTGCGAAAAATCCGATTATTCCTCTCATTCCAGATAGAGTACATGAACCTACTCCAACCAAGCTTCAAAATCAAAGCAAGAAGAGACTTCCCCAAAGATGCAAGCATGCTCACGTTATCTTCTCGTCCCAGCCACGAATGTGTCTATCCAAACCGCACAAGGACAAAATCCTTCTCCAAAGCTAGTTGCAAAATGTAATACCCAAAAATTTCATTAGTGACTGAAGTGTGAATTTTGAAAGTTTGAAGACCAAAGTATAAAATTGTAAAAGTATAGGGATTACAATGTAAATTTTCAAAAGTTATATTTTGGATTTGTGAATAAGTAGTTCAGCCGTCCAAGATATTTATTTTAGTAGGTTTCATATTTTTGGTCGGATTTTGCATAAAATTTTATTAAAGGATAAAGTTATGTATATTATTCAGATAACTAAATCGAATCAGAAGTTTATAAAAATTTGCAGGAAGGTAGATTTTGGTTGGAAAATTATATGGATATTTTTAAATAGAAAAATTTAAGATAGATCGGTGGAATTTGGTGAGAATTACACTATAAAGTGAGATAATGAAATTTTGAAAAAATTGGAGGGTCAAAAAGAAAATTTGAGAGAAGAGATTTTTACAGCTATTTAATAATATTAAAATAAAGATAATGGAATGGCATGGTTGTAGTTTAGAGAATTCATTAATGACAATTTGGGTTTTTGGCCCAAAATGAATAAAAAATTATTTTATTGGTTTTAAAAGTCAAAATTGAGGGGATTTTTTTCATAAATTTTGGTGGTCTCTTCTTCTCCAGCAAGTTGCTGAAACTCATAGCTAAAGAGAGCAATTTCTTTTCTTTTCCATTTTTGATCAAATTTAGTAAGATTTTGAGCTAAAATGTGAAATAAGAAAATAATCCCCATTAAATTTTCTACAACCTGGTGTAATTATTTCTTGGTTTCATGCTTGAATGGTGAAAATTTTGATTTTGGTGGATGAAGGGGAGTTGAGAATTTGATGAAATTAAATTAGATTTTGATATTAGGAGTGTTGTAGAGTTATAATTAAGCATGAAGGTTGAATAAAAATTGTTGGTGGGATTGGTTTGGTGATTTGGTCATTGATGGATATGTTAGGAACTTGGTTGAATTTGATTTGTTTTGCTTTGAATTTGATTGAGAATGATTAGAATTGATTGGAAATGAGCTTTACTTGACGAATCAAGCTTAAAACAAGTTGGAGAGTATTAGGAGCCTATTTTGCAAGACTTGAGAAATTAAAGCATAATTATGTAATTGTTGAAAATTAGTGTATCATGCTTAAGGTGATTGTGTTTGATGATGTTAGGATATTCAATTGACTCGTTTGTGTTCATTTGATAAGAAAATAAAAATGAGTGAATAAGTTAAGAATGCAAATTATGATGTGTTTGTTTCAGGTATTTGATTTTACGGAAAGTGTTTTACTCACTTTCCTGTGTTTGGCGGGGTAAAATGAATTTGGTCAAAGCAATTCATTTTAATTCATTTTACAAGTCAACGTAACAACTCAAGCTTTTCCCGTAAAATGACCTGTCCTTTTATTTTCTGTAAGTCATTTTACACGTTTCTCTTCTTAATTGTATCTTCACAGAATCATCCTACAATTCCCTTTTTCTTTCATCGATGGCATCGTCATCGTTATTTTTTCACCGGCGGTGATAACGATATAGTCGTTCTTTCAATGACGGTGGTAGTGAACTGATAAGGTACTTTATCTTTCATCTATTCTTATTTTCTTTCCATGGATATCAACACTTTGTGTCTCCAATATTTTATTTTCAAAACCTTAATCCTAAAGCAATTTAGTCTTTCGAACCCATCAAAAATCAAGATTTCATATTGCACCCTGTTAGTCGTTACTTTGCTTGTGCTTTCCCTGTTGGTCGTAAGAGGAAATGTAAGTGTTCCACCTTCTCCTGCAATTTGTATTCTTCGGTTGATTTTTTGGGTTTGTATTCAATTTGTTTTCTTCGATTGATTGTTTGGGGTTGTTGCTTTATATACTCTTAAACTATTGGTTGTTTGAGTTTGTTTCTTTATATACTCTTCAACATAAGTGTGGTCTAGTCAGTTTTGTAATGTCATACACAAAAGATGCCCCACGTTGTCTGCTCCTATGCATACCTGAATACCAAACCTCTTGCTCATTCCCTTATGAGAGGATAAGGTTATATTGATCCATGCACGATAAGGGTATAGTGTTCGAGCGTATCTTCTGGGGTAAGGTCAATGTCCTTGTTTTATTAGTTTTCAATCATGTCACCTTGTCAAAGATATAGAAATTCGATCATTTAAAGAGTTTTTAATTCAGTCGATATTCAAAGAATTTCATGTCTGCAACTTCAATTCCATGCTCACCATATTTAAAGTAACATAAATTCATTTAAATATCATTACAAAAAAATGAGAAATGATGAAAAATAAATTCAAACAAGATACTGCAAATGGAATAAAGCCTCACGAGATATGAAATGATTTCTTCCTAATTAGGATGCCCCGTTACTCATCTAATGTAGCAACACCTAACCTAAACGGATGCTACATACTGTGCTTTGATGCCCCACTCGAGCTCATCATCCACTGTTTCACTAATTCTTATGTCAACGTCCCATTTTCAACAACCGTCTCTATCTTCTTTAACAGCGGCCTACAATTTCCCGTAGAATGCCCCAATGCCCCCAAGTGAAAATCATAGACACTATCTTGATCGTAGCTGTGTGCATAAGGGTTTGGTTGCACTTTTATTGGCCTTGGAGTAAGGTATAGACCTTTAATCAAATGGGGATACAAATTCGAGATAGAAGTTTGGAATAGTTTTAAAGTATTTTTCGACCGTGGGGCTTTCATTGGTCGATTCGAACGACTAGCTGCTTCTTTTCTTTTACGGCTGTGGGAGCTATAGATGTGACATTCATTTACCTAATCAGTTTTTTCCTTTTGATCCGTTGGTTTTTTGGAAGT